AGAAAAATCCCAGGTATAGTCATGCTTTGCTTAACAATGGGGATATGTTCTGAGAAATGCATTGTTAGGCAATTTCGTTGTTGTATGAACACCATACAGTGTACTTACATAAACCTAGATGGTATAGCCTATGGCACACCTAGACTATATGATATAGCCTATTGCTTCTAGGCTATAAACCTGTACAGCATGTTACTGTATTGAATAGGCAATTACAACACAATGGTAAGTATTTGTGTATCTAAACAAAGGAAAGGTATAGTCAAAATATACTATATAAGCTTATGGGACCACTGTTGTATAAGTGATGCATCATTGACTGAAATGTCGTTATGCAGCGCGTGACTGTGGTTTTTATTCTGAAACTTATTTAGCTCCACTACTAAGGTAAATGCTTCTGAAAATTCTGCCCAATGCCCAGTGCATAATAAAGTCTCTTTATTCTTCATCTTGTGTAAACCCGAATGTTCCCACCCTGTGTGGGCACTAGGAATTGTTCAGTCTGATACTTTCTGGTGGTCCTTTCCTCAGCCTCTGGTAGTTTTCCTTCACACATGTGCAGATTAGTTCTCAAGTGGACCTTTCTGCAGATCTCTGCAGTGCTCACTCTGCACACCTGCTTCCTCTCTGGTACTCTGCCCCCTAAGTTCTAGCCACCTTAGCTTTCCCGAACTCTGATCCCCATCTCCTCAACTCGGATTGTCTGCCAGGCTCTGTTTGCTTTCCCTTTCTTGTTTTGCAGCCTGGAAACTGCCTCTGGAGCAAGCTGAGGCGATTGTAAGCACATTGTGTTTGTTGCCTTTCTCTCAAGGATTACAGTCTCAAGCTTTCTATTGTTCAGTACCTGAAAGCTGTTATTTCATGTATTCTGTCTGATTTTCTACTTATTATTTTAGTGCAATTCTTGTACCAGTTAATCCTTTGTGGGCAGAAGTGGAAATCCTTTCTTTCATTCTCTCTTGAGTTCACTCTATCCAGGCTTTAGTTCCCAGCTCTATAATGCAACTGATTAAAAAAATTTCATCCAACCCAATAGCATTTGAAAGAGTTGATCACTCTCTTTTTCTTGAAAAGCTTTCTTCCCTTGACTTCTTTTTATTTTTTTAGACAGGGTCTCACCTGACTCTGTCACCCAGGCTGGAGTACAGTGGTGCTATCATGGCTCACTGCAACTTTGACCCCCCAGGCTCAAGCAATCCTCTCACCTCAGCCTCTTGAGTAGCTGGGACCACAGGCACGTGCCACCATGCCCAGCTAATTTTTAAATTTTTAGTACAGATAAGATTTTGGTATGTTGCCCTGGTTGGTCTTAAACTTCTGGGCTCAAGAGATCCTCCTGCCTTGGCCTCCTAAAGTGTTGGGATTATAGGCGTGAGCCACCATGCCCAGCCCACTTGGCTTATTGGAGCCACTCTCTCTTATTTTACACCTACCTTCTTGATCACCTCCTCCTCTCAGTCCCTTTTGCTGGATCCTCCTCATCATTTTAACTTCTAGGCTTTGGGGAATCCCAGAACTCAGTCCTAGGACCTTTTCTCTTCTATATCTGTACTCAATCCCTAATATCATCTGGTCTTATGATCTTTAAAATCTTTTATGGGCTATAACTCCTGGATTGATATCTGAATTCTGAGCTTTCCCATGAACTTCAGATTCATATTCGTTTGCGTAATGACATGGAACTTGGATAGGTTTACATACATGGATTTCCAGATACGTCCAAAACTGCATTTTTGATTCCCTCATAAAGGAAATAAAACATGCAAATAGCACCAATAACCAAAACCTTTATCTGAATCTTGTCTTTTCTGCTTCAATAAAGTTGTGATTCCATTCTTCTAGACACTCATCCAATTAGTCAAGAGATTCTTTCTTTCTTTCTTTTTTTTTTTTTTTTTTTTTTGAGATGGAACCTCACTCTGTCGCCCAGGCTGAGTGCAGTGGTATGATCTTGGCTCACTGCAACCTCCATCTCCCAGATTCAAGTGATTCTCTTGCTTCAGCCTCCTGAGTAGCTGGGATTACAGGCGTGTGCCACCACACCTGGCTAATTTTTGTAGTTTTAGTAGAGACGGGGTTTTGCCATGTTGGCCAGGCTGGTCTTGAACTCCTGACCTCAGGTGATCTGCCTGCCTCGGCTCCCACAGTGTTGGGATTACAGGCGTGAGCCACCACGCCTGGCCAAGAAATTCTTTTAGCTTCTCTTTTGAACTATATCTGGAGTCCAGTTACTTCTCATCACTTGACCTGTGACTTCCCTGGGTGAGATCACTACCAGCTCTTAACTGGTCACTACCAGCACTTGTCTGTGCTAGCTGATCTCCTTGCTTTCACTCTTGCCCAAGCCTCTTCTCCGTTTGGCAGTTGGAGCAGTCCTTTAAAAAAAAAGAAGTCAGATCATGTTGTTCCTGCTTCTAGGCTTCCCATTTTGCTAAATAAAAGCTAAAAAAATACCACAGACCTAAAGGTCTTATGTGATCTTGGCCTTGGCTAGCTCTTTGTTTTCTATTATTCTCCCTCTTACTCCCTGTGTTCCAGATACTTTAGTCTCTTTGTTGTTTCTCAGACACACCAGGCATCTTTCCACATGTAAGCTTTTGCACTTGTTATAATTCCCTATTCTTGTGTGCTATTTCACTGGATATCCACATGGTTCATTTTCTTACCTCTTTGAAGCTTTTGCTCAAATGTCACCTTATTAATGAGGCTTTGTCAGTTCACCTTACATAAAATATAAAATAGCACTAGCCCCACCTGTCACATTCTATTCTCTCATCCTGCTTCATTTTCCTCTAGAGCCTTATTACCTGATATGTAATATATATTTATTTGTCTTCCTCAGTAGAATGTAAACTCCATGAGAGAAGGGTTTTTCTTTTTCTTTTGGTGGTGGTGGTTGTTCAATGCCATATTCTCGGCACCTAGAACAGTGCCTGGCATATAGTAGGTCCTCAATAAATATTTGTTGAATGAATGTATCTTAAGTGCTCATTTTGTAAAGAATACTTTTTATAAAAAGATATCCACTAGATGGCATTATTTTCAAACTTTATATAATTAATGTCTGGGAGCAAACGATAGGTTCTTTTCTGTTTTTTGCCCTAAACAAAAAAGATCTTTGTGATGAAGATTGTCACGAGAAGTTACTGGGATGAATGTGAGGCATGTCGAATACTGCATTTATATTTGATTTTTGATTTATATTTTTTAGATTTTTTTATAAAATAAAAAACATTTGGAGAAACAGAGAAAATTACAGCATATTGGTGTGTAAATGGTCCATTTAATACAGTTATTTAGCATGGTAACTGTGAACAAAGGTTGTTCATGTCTATCTTTTGACTGTTATTCCTTTTCTGAGGCCTTCAGCAATGGGAAAGCAGCAATAAGTTCCAGAGCCTTTCACTACTCAAGCCACTAGTGGAAATCCAGCCTAGTGCTAGAGGGCAGAAAATTGTCAGCTGCTGAGTTCTTGTTGCTAATGAGCTAGGTACTCTCAATCTGGTTCCTAATCAACTGGGCATTCAAATTTTGAAAAACTTCCATGTTTCTAGAAGATGTTGCCAGACCTATCCTGTTAAAAACTGGTAGGTTCTAAGTGCCAGAGATTTTTAGCTGACTTCTCTGACCAGCACTAAACTCAGCAAATAGTTTCCCTAATCAAAAAATTTATGCTTTCCCCGCAAACTGTCAGGATTTGGCTGCTCTGCCTGTGCCAGTGCCATCTCATTGCTTGATTTCCTCACTTACCTCATTTCCTTCTTCCATTTCAATCCTTGTGCCTCTCTTAAGCTCTTTTCCTGGATGGTTATTTGATCCATTTTATTCTCACTCTTCACACCTCTGTTGGTACTATTCCTTACTCATGAAGTATTTTTTCCTCTTCCTGTTCAACTTAGCTATGTATATTTTTCTTTTCAAATTGTTCAAAAATATACTTAAAAAACAGTTGTTGAAGTTCTCTCTTGTCTTTTCCTGTTTTAGGTTTTTCTCTTTTATTTCTAATCAGAGCAAATGTAAGGACTTGTTTTGTTTATCTTTTCAAAGTTCCCAGCCTCTTCTCAGAACTCTATTTCGAAATGAAAACACTGTTCTTTTGTACTTTTGAGTCTCTAAATGGAACATAAAATATAGGATGGTTTTCGAGTTTACAGCCTCTCCTCCCAGTTCCCCTGGGATGGCTAAGTACTAGGGCTGATAAAGTGTCATCTCATTTAAAATGAAATGTGACGGTTAAACTCAAAACATTTAAAATGAAATGAGATGGTTAAACTCAAAGATTTATATTTTTAACATTTTAAACCATAAATATGAGAAATTTCTAGTAATGCTTTCCATATCTTATAATATGAATGATGGTGTTTTAACTTGTCACTCTCTTGTGTTTGGCCTACTGCATATATTAAACTGGCTTTGAGGCCAGAAATCAGTGTTTAGAAAATCACTTTTTGTTTACTAAGAAAATATTGGAACATTAATTTGTTTGGGCCATAATTTTCTGTTTACCAAGGAATTATTGCATAACATTAATTTGCCTGAATTGTTTCAATTGAGAAAGTATATTTTTCTGGAATGAGACATGAAGACTTACTGATATCTATTATAGTACAATATACCATATTTGTTCAAATATACTTATTTCATTCAAGAAAATGAAAGCATTCTTATTTAGTAAACATACCTTATAGCTGCTACTCTAAATATCATTTACAAAAAACATATTTGATCCCAGAAAGATAAATCTCAGAGACATTGTTGTTTGCCCAAGATTAGATGAGATCCAACAGCCCTTGCTGGTTTCATGCTATGACTGCTAACCTCTGTTAGTGCTTGCAAAGGAGAGCTTACATTCTAAACCTGTATATTAAGCCATTTTGCTTATACTTGCTCTATTGATAATACTTAGAAGTTTCTCAAGTAAAATTATTTAGAGATTCAGCAATGTGACTTTAAATAGAATTAACTATTTTTGTTTGTGCTGTTTTTTTTTTTACCCACAGACTGGTTGAGATAGCAGAATCCCGTTTTCCCAAATATTTTAACACTGAAGAAAAATTACTTTTGACAAGTAGTAAAGTTCATCTTTATCGGGAACTCACCTGTGATGAAGTTCTACAAAGGTATGCTGCTTTAGATTTTGATTTTTTAGTAATGCGTTGAAGGTTTATGTTTTATCTTTTATGTTTCATCTTCTGAGTGACTAAGTCTTTACAGTTAGAATTATGTGGAATAACTTTTTCAGTGTTCTTCTTTGTTATAGCCTTTTGGTTGAAGTCTTTCTTTAAAAATGAAAAAAATTAAATGAATAAAATGTTTTAGATTTAATTAAGTGGTGTAATACTTATCTATTGTTCCATTAACAAATTGTCTCACAGTTTAGTAGCTTAAAACAGCAAATACATATTATTTCACATAGTTTCTGAAGGTTAAGTGTCTGGGAGTAGCTTAGCTGGGTGTTTCTGGCTCAGTGGCGCTCAACAGGTTATAGTCAAGCTGGTGGCCAGGGCAGCAGTTGTCTCAAGGCTTGACTGGAGCTGGAGTATCTGCTTCCAAGCTCCCTAATGTAGTTGTTGGAAGGCCTCTGTTTCTTGCTGGCAGTGGGCAAGAGGCCTTTGTTCCTTACTATCTGGGCCTCTCCATAAATCACAACATAGCAACTTGCTTCCCTCAGAGTAAGTGACCTGAGAGACTGGGCAAGTGAAAGAGTACCCAAGATGAAAGCTGTAGTCTTTTATGACCTACACTCAGAAATAAGGTACCATGATTTTGTCATATGCTTGTGGTCACACAGATCAAGTCTGGCACACTGTGGGAGGGACCTATACAAGGATGTGAAATACCAAGAGGAGAGAGTAAGTGCGGGCCATTTTACAGACTGGCTACCACAAGTAGTTTTACCCCAAAATTGGAGCATTAGCATTATCTTAGGAGAATCAAGGAATTCTGAAACTACACAGAAACAGTTTGCTCTGTTTCCAGAAAAGTGTTATATGTCTAGAAGAGCTGAAAATAAGTTAGGTTTACTGAATTCTTGCAAATCATTACTGTAACTTAGGAAAGAATAGTTTGTTATTGTTTTTAATTTGCTTAGCCTTTGCAATACCCTTATTTATTTACTTTATCTTAAATTTATTGACTATTTTATAAATTCTTCTTTTATAGGATTGAATCTTTGGAAGAAGAAATTATCTCAAAAGGAATTAAACTTGTGATTATTGACTCTGTTGCTTCTGTGGTCAGAAAGGAGTTTGATACACAACTTCAAGGCAATCTCAAAGAAAGGAACAAGTTCTTGGCAAGAGAAGCGTGCTCCTTGAAGTATTTGGCTGAGGAGTTTTCAATCCCAGTAAGTTTTTCTTTTTTTTCTCATATATCTTTTCCTTTCTTGTCTTTCTTTTATATTACATTCACCGACTTATAGTATCAAATAATAAAATTAGAGGAAAATGTAAAACAGATGACTTTTTAAAGGTAGTACAGTCTAATTGCTATAGCAAACATTACCATCATCTTAAATTAGCTCATCTGCTGAGATTATTTTATCCTTTTAATAATTTGAGCCTGGAGTAGATTTAAATGATGTTTTTAAAAGTTCCTGTAGTCCTTCCTTTTCTTCCTTCTCGTTGTTTACTCTTTGTATATGCTTTATATCACATTTCTCATATTATAGTAAAACTTCATGAAATTGCCTAGGTCCATTTCTATGTAATTAAAAAAAATCCTGCAGTTGTTAGTTTTGTTGTAAGTATTTTAGGTTTAGATACTGTGTTATTGTGTTCAGTGCTGTTTTGTGTACAATAGGATTTGGTTTGCCTCAAATGGTAGAGGTCAACCTTTAAGGGATGTTGGAATGATAGTAGTGAAAAGTGCCAGTAAGAAATCCTTAAAAGATTACCTGTGGCATGGCTTTTTGTAGTGGGCATTGTGATCAGAAATCTGAAGATGACAGGATATTGCAAGGGCTTGTGATGTGTAACTTGCAAGACATAAGTGTGTACTAAGTTACACTCCCATCTGCAGTGTGTCAGAGAGTTTCAGTTGTTCCACAGCCTCATCAACATTCAGGCTCCTCAATTTTAGTCATGCCTCATCTCAAGAAAAGATAGTTCCTTAAACTGAGATAAAATTTGGTTATGATTTTATAATTTTTAGATTTGTTTTTGGAAAATTAAAATCTTGGATCTTTGCAACATAAAGAATATGTATAAGTAATATAAACTACCACACAGCCTTTGAGATTTATAAAACCAAGGAAGAAGTCAAGGGAGAAAATACGGCATTCAAAAAGTTCTACATACTTTAATGGCTTTTTAGTTTGTATTTTGAATTAAAGTCAAGTGCTGTTAAGTTTATCTTGGGTGATGTTCATCTTTTACATCTTATTGTGTAGTTGGTTAAAATGATAAATTCAAATTTATATTTTTCCTGGTCAAGGAGAATAAGGGAACTTTGAAATCTTGTATAAAGATACTTGATTGAATAGAAATTTATGTCCTATATAGTCGGCCCTCTGTATCTGTGGGTTCTGCATCCATGGATTCAACCAACTAAGGATAGAAGATATTTGAAAAAACAATGGATGTGGTAGTGTGCCCCTGCAGTCTTAGCTACTCAAGAGGCTGATGTGGGAGGATCACTTGGGCCCAGGAGGTTGAGGTTGCATTGAGTCATGTTCATGCCACTGCACTCCAGCCTGGGAAACGAGACCCTCTCTCTAAAAATATATATATATTTGAAAAAAAAAAAAGGATTATTGTCTTTGTACTGAACATGTACAGACTTTTTTCTTGTCATGATTCCCTACAGTTTAGCAGGGATCTACATAGCATGTACGTTGTATTGGGTATTATAAGTAATGTAAAGGTGATTTAAAGTATATAGGAGAATGTACATAGGTTATATGCAAACACTGCACCATTTTATCTGAGGGACTTGAGCATCCATGAATTATGGTATCTGCAGAGTAGTCCTGGAACCAATCCCCCATGGATACAGGAGGATGACTATATATTCTTATTTTATTGTGAATTCATACTGTTGCTTGACTTAATCCCATGCAAAATAAAATTCACTTTTTAAAAGTTGTGTTTGTTTGATTTTAAGTAGTAATTGTAGGCTAATGCTTTTCAGTTTTTCCTAAGGTGATTTATTTTCCCAAGTGAGAAAGGGGCACTGCTTTTCTTTGTTTTTAATAGAACCCTCTGAAAAAATAGGTACTAAATATCTCATTTCTCTGCTTCTGGCTTTGTTTATCTATTTAGAGATAAATGCAGTTTCTACTATGTACTTATATAACTGTGATATCTGTTTTTTGTGACAAGTAAGATTGTAAGATTGGTTTTAAAAGGATTTTGAAAAATATTTCCTTTAGAAAATGTTGGAATTTTCCTAGCTAAATTGATGCATTTAAATGGAAAATCTCTCACACAGGTCCAAGATTTAATTAAAAAAAAATAAAAGGAAATCATGAACTTTTACACATTTATACTATACTTGAATAGTGGTTTAATTAGGTTGATGCAAAAGTAGTTGCAATATATTATAATATATATTGCAATATATATTATAATATATATTGCAATATATATTATAATATATATTGCAATATATTATTGTCTGGTTCATTCGCTTTACAAATTAGTAAACCCGAGCCTTTTTGTAGTTCCTTTTACATGCCAACAGAGACTCCTGTTCGAGGAGTATTTACTGTTCCTCAGCCTGGAACCTTCCTCCTCTAAATATCCACATGGCTTATTCTATCCTGTCATCTTATCAGTGAGGACCTCCCAAACCATATAAGTATTAACCATACCCCCGCTGTCCTCTTACTATGCTTTGTTTCTTCTCCATCACAGTTTTCACCCCTTAGCATGTTATGTATCTAATATTTGTGTGTTCCTTCTACTGCCTCATTCTCTCTCTCTGTCTATTTATTTATGTTTTGAGACAGGGTCTCACTCTGTCACCCAGGCTGGAGTGCAGGCACAATCATGGCTCACTGTAGCCTCAATCTCCCAGGCTCAAGTGATCCTCCCACCTCATTCTCCCAAGTAGCTGGGACTACAGGCATGCAACACCACCACACCTGGCTAATTTTTTATGTTTTGTAGAGACACGATCTCACTATGTTGCCCAGTCTGGTCTCAAACTCCTGTGCTCAAGCAATTCTCCCATCTTGGCCTCCCAAAGTTCTGGGATTACAGGCATGAGCCACTGCACCTGGCCTGCCTTATTCTCAGTACCAGCAATAGTGCCTAACATATAGTAGACACTCAACAAATATTTTTGAATGTATGAATTGTAGATATTGCTTCTCATCTTGCTTTACTTAATCTTGTCTCTATTGGTACTGAACTTAAATTTTAATATTTGCTTTTAACCCTATTGTTATATTATCTTTTATTTTAACAGTAATAAAATATAATTTTCAGTGGCAGAATGTCTTATATTGGAGCTGTACTCAAATTACATTGGCATCTTATAGGAAGAAAAATAATTCTTCAGATTCTTATATTTGGAAAAGGCTTTAGAGATTTAGATAGTATCAGAGAGCCAGGCAGTAGGAGAAAAGATTTTTTTCTCAGTCTAGTAGAACTATGACAGGTGAATGTCTGATGGCCTCTGAGCACTGGGTGGTAAGCCATGCATTCTAGATATATAGATGGCAGTTATCTGCTGATAAACACATGAAAAGATAGTCAAAATCCTGTCATTAGGGACATGCAAATTAAAATCCCAATGCCGTACCACTACACATCTATTAGAATGGCTCAAAAAACCCTGATCTGAACCATTCCCTCTTCTCTGTAGGCTCAGGACCCAGGGCTGGTACCACCACAAACCCAGTAACTTAAGGAATTAGGAAGAAGGGTAAGAGAGCAGTCTGCTTATAAGAGCAGTGTTTTCTCAAACTAGGTTCAGGCACTGACCCCTTTTAAATGCAAATAATATTCTCACAAAACCCCACTGCTGACTTCATTTTTATTGCAGTATCACAGAAATGTACAGAATTATAAGACTAATAATTCTTAACGTTAAGTCATGCTTATAAAACCATAAAGATGGATTGCATCTATAGGCACCATAGTACTGTTCAAATTATGTCAATTTAATATGTTATTTTTGATAATTTGCTAAATTAAATTATTGCTTGCTATATATATAAGCTTATCTCACAGACTGCTTTAAATATATATATATATATATATAGTGATGATTCAGCTTTTCCCCCTCTTTCTCTGTTTGAACTACTACTAGAAAACCTTCATCTGTTTGGGAAGGGTGACATTGTTTGGCCCTCATGTGGGCATGAATGCATTTAAGTTTTAAGTATGCTGTTGCTCTTTTCTACATTAGTCCCTGAGAATTAAAGAGGAATTAATTGGTATCACTTGATTGAAAACAGATACATTAATATATTTCAGAGGTTTTCAATTATAAGATGGCTTTACTAATATTTTGAGGGTATCACTGAAATGAAAACATAAAATTAAAAAATTTTCACAGAGAATTTTATAGACTTTTGAATATGTTCAGACTGCAGTTTTGAGAAGCAGTTGTAGAAGTCTGGTAGAATCTTTTTTCCTGAAGTTTATGGAGGTGGTGTAAGTGATACTCTGCCATTGGGATGGAAGATGCAGAACCTTTGTCTTTTTAAAGCGTGTTCACACTAGTATTGAAAAAACAGTGGGCTCTGAAGCTGTGTAGAGATACTTGATAAAAATAACTGAAAAAAATTTAAATATTGCTTTATAAACTACTAAATTGTGGTTATGGCTATATATGTTGACTGTTTATCATTGACTTCTAATTACCACTTATAGAATAGTTATTATACATATTGTAAATTATGTATCAGATTAAAATAATAGGATGTTTTTGCCAGAAAGGACCTTAAAATTTAGTTTGGCCCCTTCATTTTACAGATGACAGTGAGGCCGAAAAGTGACCTGACTTGCTCCAGGACACTCAGCATAGGAAAGGACAAGCAGTGGGTAGAATGAGAGATCTTTTAGATGCCAGTTTGGGGATTTTTTTTCCACAGCAGAATTTTCTTTTTTTCTGAGACATATAGAATTATGGTGGACTGTAAACTTAATGACAGGATTATATCTTCTGTTTCTCTGATTTCCAGGACCTAGCACTGTGGATAACTAATATTTGGGAGGTAACAGCTAATGAAAGTACAATTAAGGTTTATGAAAATAGTCTTACCATATGTATGTCATATTTACATTCATTGGAATATTTTTCTTTATCTTTTAAAACATAATTTGAATTTTTTTATGCTTACTGCTGGAATTCTTGTTATGTTTTTGTTTTTAAATTGACCTTTGTAGTATGCCA